GTACAAGAAAATTTTCTTTATCAATATGTAGATCTATCTATTAGAGAAGAAGCAAAACTTCACCTCTTGAAAAATAAGGCAGGGGAAGTGACTGAGGTGTCAGCGGGGGAGCACCTTGGGGAAAATGGTTATAATTCTATTTACTACTAAAATAGTTATGGAAAAGAATAGACCTGATCTAAAAGTTAAAGTTCTAAATTGGAGTAAGGCCAATTTTGACAGTATTAATCAGAAACTTTCAAGAGTTGATTGGGGAAGGCTGTTAGCTGGTAAAGGGACTGCTGGAAAGTGAGAGGCCTTCAAAAATGAGATACTAAGTTCAGAGACAGTATGTTCCTGTTAGTGCAAAAGGCAATGCTGCCAGGTGTCGGGAATGCTGGGTGACTAGAGATGGTGAAGCTCTGGTCAAGAAAATGTAGGAGACATGTCGGGTATAGATAGCTGGGATCAAGTGAATCCCTGGAGGAATGGAAGAGCAGTAGGGGCTTTCTTAACAAGAAATCAGGAGGACGAAAAGGCAACATGAGGTATTTTGGCAAATGGGCGTAAGGAGAATCCAAAAAAAGTTCTCCAAATACATTAAGGGCAAAAGAGTAATTAGGGAGAGAATAGGGCCACTCGATCAATGTTGCTATCAACATGTGGAACCAGAGGAGATGGGTGAGGTACTAAACAAATATTTTGCTTCAGTATTTACTGTGGAGAAGGACATGGAAGCTTGGGAACTTGAGGAAATAAGTAGTGATATCTTAAAGTGTCCATATTACAGAAGAGGTGGCACTAGAGGTCTTCAAATGCATGAAGGTAGATAAATCCCCAGGACTATAGACTATACCTGTTGCATAGGCACACATTTTATTTCCATTGTTTGCTGACTTCTCAAATGCACTTTATAACCTCACATTAAAACCAATGCTTCCATAACCTGCCTCAACGTTCCTGCAAGTAATGTTGTAAATTCACGAGCACAACCTGATGCTTTGAGTCCATTTATACTTTTGTGTAGCAATAAATGTAGACTGCTATGCCTAGGTTGGTGATGTCAGTATATTTACAGGTATTAGCCATCCAGTGGTTTTGATAAAAAAAATTAGAAATTGCTTTCACACAGTGTATATAAATATTCAGTGTGTTTCTAGTACACATTTAGCCCTGCCCTATGGAAGAAATTAAACTACCTAAGTTGAATGGTATGTGTGCAAATGGTCTTATTTGTGTAGGGAAAGAATTTGTTGCTACATGGCTCTCTTCCTAACCTCCAGATAAGATAAATTAGTTAATTTTAGATTACATACTTCTGAAGTACAATTGCTGATATCCAGGCAAACGTGACAGTTTGTCGCAAACCCACTTGAGAAAGTGCACTGATACTCAAGCCCCACTGCTCCAAGGGTCATCACAGAAGTTAAAGATTCAATCAAATCACTGAGTCCTCAACTTTCCTAATCCGTAAAGTCAGGTTAACAGAAAATGCTGACCAGGTTTCTGTAATTAATAAGAAACTACCAATTATTACAAAGAAATTAACTCTTAACTACAGACAGAATTATGAATTATCAACATATAACTTGACTAAATGAAACTCTAACCCCATTCTTAAACTTCTTCTCTCTCGAAGAGCAATCATGGATGTTGTAGTTGGAGAAAAGACTACTGGGGAAAGCACCAGTCCGCAGGATACGAAGTGTCCTCTTTGCTTCCCCAGTCCTTCCAATCAGAGTTTCTTGTTTCCGGATTCTTTCAGCTCTTTTCTAAAGAGAGCAGTTGATACGTTATTTGTTCAGTCTTTTAATTAGAAGCAACAGCAAACAGTGGGAGGGAATGGATAGCTATCTACAAGTTTGGTTATTTCACTGCAGAGAGAAGGAAAGAGACCCTTTCTCTGTCGCAGTATGGAGGCTTCTGTCCCTGTATTGTTTATACATTCTCTGTTCCCCTGCCCAGGAGTAAGTTGTGGTGATGACCTCTGGCCTCCAGAATTGGATCTGATTGGTTTGTGCAACCAGCAGTCTGTCTCTGGGTGAAACTTGTTTTATGCATGCCCATGGTGCCGTAGCTCTTGGGAATGAAAGCAGAGCTGGCTAAAGTGGATTGGGAAAGGCGTTTAAAAGCAAAGAAAATTTGAGGAACAATAGCAGACTTTTAAGGAAATAGATCCTGGTTCGCAGCAAAGACGTGCTAAGTGTGGAAGAAGGATTCTAGGAAAGAGATGAGGGAACCATGGTTAACCAGGGAAGTTAAGGATATCATCAAATAGAATGAAAAGCTTAAAAAAAAATCACCAAATAAGAGAGAGACAATAATGAGGATAAACTTGCAAGTAATATCAAAATCAACAATAAGGGTTGCTTTAAATATATAAAAAGGAAGAGAGGCCAAATTGAACAATGGGTGCATTAGTGAATGAGGCTGGGGAAATAATGGTGAACCAGGAAATGATATTCAACTCCTCCATATGCTTTGATTCAGTCTTTCCAAAATTACTAAACATTCAAGGACAAAAGGAGGATAGGAAATAAATAAATTTCTATCACTAGAGAGAAAGAGTGCTAGGGAAGCTAATAGGGCTAAAGACAAATAAGTCCCCTGGGCCTAATGTGATGCATCCTTGGATATTGAAGGAAGTAGCTACAGGATAGTGGATGCACTGGTAGTAATCTTTGAGTAATCCTTAGATTATTTAGAAAGGGAAAGAAACAAAAAAATTAATTTATAGGCCAGTTGTTGAGTGTATGTTTCTGGGAACATATGACTGTTTTTATAAAGGATGCAATAGCAAAGCATTTAGAAATGCAAGGTATGATTAAGCAGTATCAGCATGGCTTCATGAAGGAGAAATTATGACATTCGCTAAAATTAATTGAGGGTGTAACAAGCAGGGTCATTAAAGCCAATGCAGTGGATTTGATGTACAGCATTTGGATTTTCAGAGAGTTTAAGTACCATACAATAGGCTGTTTAATACAATAAGAACTCATGGTGTTGGTGATATTGTATTAGCTTGGGTGGAGGTTTGGCTAACTAATAGACTGAGAGTTGGGATAAGGGGGATATTTTGAGGATAGTAACCTGTAATTAGTGGTTTGCCACAGGGATCAGTGTTGGGGCTAAAATTATTTCCAATATATATTAATAGAACTGGATGAGGAAAGTGAATACACTATATAGTTGTGCTTGTGGATGACCCAAAAATAGGTGGGAAAGCAAGAGGTGAGGATGAGACACAGAATCTGTAGAGGGATATAGATGTGTTAAGTGAATGGGCAAAACATTGACTTTGCCCCTTGTGATTTTATTAAATCACTCCCCCCTTCCCCAGGGAGAAAGAAATCCCAGCGTATCCTCAACTCAACAGTGCTCACTTCAAAACAGTGCTCCAGATCGTTGTAAATGCCTCTAAATCATCTGAGAAAATGTGTGTTTCACTAAACACCTAGAAAACTAAGGCCTTCTTCCAACCAGCACCTTCAGCTCAACAATCTTCCCCTAGCCAAACAGTGAAGATCTATGGCAAGATCCTGGAAAATGTGGACTATTTTCCACTATCATCGGAGTGTTCTTTCTACGAAGACATAGATGACAAAATTTGCCATCGCCTTTGTGGCAGTTCGGCCTTCAGCCAACTGAGGAAAAGAATATTTGAGGGTTTGGATCTCAAACCTTGTGACTAAGATGATGGTTTATTGGGCAGGAGTGATGCTCCAGACACTTGGATAACCTCCAGCAGGTATCTCACAGCAATGGAGAAATGCCTCCAGCGGTGCCTTCAAAAGATTTTCTAAATCTGGGAGGTACGTCATCAGTGTAATTTCTCATGCTAATATACCTGAGGTACAATTGCACAACACTGGCTCCACTGGGCAGAATGTTGGTCACTTGCCTGACGCTAGACTCCCCAAGCAACTGCTGTACTCTGGTCTTGGTTGCAGTAGATTTTCAGAAGGACAATGGAAACACTTTAAGAATGATCTTGAAGCATCCCTGAAAAGACCAGGAATGCTTGTTGATTCCTGGGTGTCCTTTGCTTTTGACCAATCAAAATGGGAGAAAGTTTGTTTGGGAAAGTAGCAAACACATCAATAAATTTCAGGAATACAGAGGCAAAATCTAAACATTGGTGTGAGTGCACAAACCTCCAAATAAGTCAACTACCTAACAATGAGCGTCACCTGCCCTGCATTCGGCAGAATCTTCCGATTGTGCATTGGACTCATTAGCTATCTGAGAACCTGAGTGAAAACATGATATCCTTGATCCCAAGGAACTGCCTGAGAAGGTGCATTAGTAGTGGCAGAAAGCAATTCAGATAGCCTCTTTATATTTTTTTTTTTTTTTTTTTTTGCATCGCTTTGGAACAGAAAGAAATAGTTTTAGATTGTTACGGTTACCCGGTGGCTTAGGCATCTGTATTTGCTTTGCAATGTAGTAGTGGAACTCCCTGCCTTTAAAGGGTGGTTGAGTCAGAAACTCATGTAACATTGAAGTAGTATTTAGATATTCATTTGTGTTTCCATAGCCTCCAGAGCTATGGGCCAAAAATTGGAAAGTGGGATTAGTGCAGTAAGATCTTTGTTGACTGACATGAACATGTTGAATGGCTGTCTGTAATGTAGACATCTGAGAGATCTGGTGGCAGAGCTCAGATTATCATATTAGTTTCCATCATGGAAGCAGAAGTTGCACATTCAGCATCTATCCAACAATTGCGTTAACTCATTGCTGATCTGTCATAACTCAGTCTATCCTACTTGGTTTTCTAACACTTTCTGGCCTTGTCTAACAAAATGTTATCAATTTCCACTTTGAAATCTTTGATCCAATAGTTTTGTGTAGGCGAGCATTTCAGATTTTAAAGGAATATAAATGCAGTGTTTCAGATTTAAAGCAGGCTGATGCTATTTGAGTGTTTCTAATCTTTAAAATAGGGTAGTTATTTGAAATGCCTAGGAAAAGTTTGTCAGAACTTTAATATTTGAACAGCCGCTGGCTTTCTTTTGTAGGATGTGGTAAACACCCACCCTGGGTTGACATTTCTTCGAGAAGCTGCAGAATTCCACACCCGGTATATTACCACAGTAAGTACTACTTGTAGAGGACTGTTTTCAGCTGATGTTTTTTGTCATATATTTCTTTAAGTCCTGCCAACTAGATTGTTATAGCCCTTTTTAGATGATTTATAAATGGAGGCCCCTTGTTTTTCTTTTGTGTTTTTCTCAAAACATCTTTCTAAAACCTGTGGAGTTAAGAACAAAGGATGGGTCAAAAATGAAGGATAGATAGGTTTTCAGTCTATCTTTTTTTTTTTTTAAAATCAAAAATGCAAGTATGGCTGGCTCACAAACAGTCATAAAACAGAGTTTGGATAGACTGGAAGGACATGATTGAGATGTAGAAAATCATAAGGGATGTAGACAGAGTAGGAAGGAAAAACTTTTCCCCTGATGGAAGGATCAATGATCAGGGACGTAGATGTAAAGTAAGGTACAGGAAGTTTATAGAGGAAGTGAGGAATTTTTTCCCCACCCAGAGAGTACTGGGCATCTAGAATTCAATACCTGTATGGTTGGTAGAGGCAGAAACTCTTAACATTTTAAGAAGTATTTAGATGTGCACTTGCGATGCTATAAGCATACAAGGCCATGGATCACATGCTGGAAAATAGGATTAGAGTGGTTAGGTGCTTGTTTTTGACTGGCACAGACTCCATCAGCTGAGGTGCATTTTTGTGTGCTGTAGACCTCTTGACTGTCTGACTTTGATGTAAAAATAACAGGAGGCTGTTTGATTTAATAAGCTCTGATACTTGTGGATTGGGGGAGGATACCTGGAAATCATGAACACAGGTTCTGCAGAGTGCACTGTGAACCTTTTTGAGTCCATTTTCCATCTGGCAACTGGCCAAAGCAATTGGCTGGAAGGATGATGGCCAGCTGGGAAAGTTGGAGGAAAAGGCCCCAGGTCCCCATCCATCAAGAAAGTTCAGGTGCTGGTTGGGGTCAGTCAGAGCCTGGTATTTGGGAGGGAGATCAAGATTAGTAGATGGTGGGGGAGGCTCTCATCCGACTTCAGAAGTAGGTGTCACAGCACCGATGGATGCAGAAGTCAGTAGATTGTGGGATCATAGAATGGAGGGAATTGACAGATCACTGACATGAGTCTGGTTCAGAGGCTGGTGTAGGAAGTCAGATTGTGATACTGGAGGCTTGAAGTTGCAGATTCATGACAGTTTTGGCTGGTTGCAGAGTAGACAGCTGAACTTGACATTGGGAGGAATAGCTGACCAATCTTTGAACTGCCATTTATTTCCTCTAAGATAAATTTCTGACATCATTTTGCTGGGGTGCATTTTGTTCTCAGGATCTGCGTGTTGCTGGCATTTATTGTCAACCCCTAATTTCCCTTGTTGGTGCAGCAAGTCACCATGGCTCCTTTAACCATGCCTCTCAAACCTGCAATCCCTACCATCCTAAAGAACAAGGGCAGCAGATACCTGGAGCACCATGTCCTGCAAGCTACGTTCTAAATAATATACCATCCTACACGGAAATTTTTCCCCTTGCATTTCACAATAGCTGGTTAAAAATCCTTGAAATCGCTAATCGCTCACAAAGAAAACAGAGGTTTACTAGAGATCAAGAGATTAAAGAAGATATCTCACAACTATTTGCTACAGTGGGTGGAGGAGGAAGAAATGTGCAATAAATGCTGACCTTGACAGCAACAGTTCACATCCAGTGAATGAATGAATTAATTAAAAGCTATTAAGCACTTTACATCTTCTGTCTTTAACAACTTTTGACCTTAATGAGTGCTCCAATATTCTAAGACTCCAGAACCTGGTATTTGAGAACAGGTGCACCAAAACCAGTACAAAATGGAGAAGATGTGTGCTTGTGGAAGGCTGGCATCCTTGTTGAGTTGTCTGCATCCTTGGGATCTGCCAGTTATTTTTCACTAAATTATCTGGGCGTGAGAACTTTTCTCTGAGACTTTTCATCTTTTCCACTATTTTGCTATAACCATTTGCATTTGCATTTCCTCTGAGCATATCTTTTTCTTTCCTTGTCTCATTACCACCCATTTTATTTCTTGCCCTGGCATTCTATTAGCATTCTATCACTCCTGCCCTATCCGAGAACTTCACTTTTGTTCTCTCCTTTTTGTTCCATTCACCACAACCTAATTCTGTAACTGCTTTAAATACTGTTGTTGTCTGAACACCTATCAAACTGTCAAAGACTTTCAACCTGGAATTTAAATAGTTAAATGAGGTATTCATGTAATCTCTGAGCTGCCTCCCCTAGTTTACTGCTATCTGGAAATTACGCTAGTTTTTAATTTCGGTGTCCTATTGAACAGGTTATTCAGAGGATATTTTACACAGTAAACAGATCATGGACAGGACGTATAACATGCACAGAAATCAGGAAAAGCAACCTTCTACAAGTAAGTTTTCCTGCAATCTATTTGGATATTCTTAACTTGCTCTTACAGAAACCTGTATGTCGTCCTCCACTATTGTCGTGTACTCCATTATTCCAGTACTTATTTTCTCTTAAACTGCTGATTTTAAAAACCTAACTACATTTAATGATTGCCGGCACTTCCATCTGTCTATTTGTAACAAACTTCCTTTACATGACCAACAGGTCTTCCAGGGCTTGTACTGAAGTACAGTATGCATGTACAATGATTTAAGTCCAAATGTCAGCAGTATCAGCTCTATTAGGTTAATTGCGGCTGCTGTAAATTTCAGTATCCATAAGTAGAGAAATATCTTATCCCCTTATTATTGTGAATGACATGAAAGCTGTTGGTCTATCAAACTACTTACAATTTAAAATCTAATGTTATTTTATGTGATTCTGAACTAAAGATAAAGGTTTACGCATTTTGACTGTTTGCTTACAAATAGTGGTGGATGTTTTGCGAAGAATTTTTAAGTTTAAATTCAGTTAATTTAAATAATCCTCTGCTGATAGTTAATCATCTGCAATGCTCAAGCAATTACTTCTTGAATAATTTGTTTGAATCCTAAAGTAAGGGTGTGTTTTTAATTCATAGAACCTAGCCTTACTGGAAGAGGAAGAGGATATTAATCAGCTCACAGAATTTTTCTCCTATGAGCACTTTTATGTGATCTATTGTAAATTCTGGGAACTTGACACTGACCATGACCTCTACATTGATCAGAAGGACCTGGCAAGGCATAATGATGATGGTATGACATGCAACATGAAGTAACAGGTTATTAAGAGTCGGCTGTTTGATGTTTCAACTGACAAACCATGCATAAATAAATGATGAAAGCGATCTGGAAAAACTATTCAAAATCAATCCCTTTTTCTGAACTGGACATAAACTTATCCACAAAACAGAAACTACTATCATTGCCTGTGTTTCATATTGTTCATTTTACCAATTAATTAACTTGTAATTATGTAATTAAATTGCAGGCTTTTATTCTGAAGTAAAGCATGCATATAAATTGCATTAATTTTATTTACCATAGTGAGAACATTAGTGTGGAAACACTTTTTTTTTTCTTTTGCTCTCCATCTGTCCAAACTCATTCATTTGAGTATCATGTTAATCATTTTAGTTGAAAATAAATGAGTTTTAAAGCCATCTCATTGCTCATTTGAGGCTAATTGAATAATTATCATGACTTTATTATGAATCTTGAGCATCATTTCAGTTGTTGGGAATCAATGAACCTGAGCTAAATTAGAGCTCCCTAGCATTTATGCTGACCTTTTCCCAAATGCATAGTATTTGGTTACCTATAAAGTGCCTCATGGCACCAGATTACACAGGCAATAAAATAATGCTGCCTCAAGATTATAGCAATAAACCAAACACATTTGTAGTATATTTTGAATCATTAATCGAGCTAGTTACTTTAGTACAGCTGAAAAGAGACCTATTGTTGAAGCTTTTCATCTTGCACTCATCAGAACGGAATTACAAGAATATTAAATCTAAAGGAAATAGCAATTTATACTGCATGAAATGTAGTGCTAATTTTATTGGCAAATGGGCTTTGTGATTGGTGGACATGTTGCCATGGAGAATGCACATTTATTTGCCAAGCTCACATTATTCTTACAAATCTATTCTGTGATTGCATGACAAAAAGCTTTGGGTTTTTCTTTCAATGATACCCTATTTCTGTACTGCCAAGTGACTTCTAGTTACTTTTATTAATTGTGCACCTCAGATGATTCATTCATTTGTGAACATTGAGGCCGAGTTACCACAAATGTTCTCCAGATCGTCCTTTGTAATTCCACCTGAGCTTCAGAATACCTGGGCAAAATGGCCTTGGTTTTTTTATATATGTTTTAGAGGGTTTACATGCATATTTGACAGAAGTCAAGGCCATCAAATGGGAGCACCCCTGTGAAAGTTTTAGATGCCACTATATTTTAGTTTGCATCCACTTAGTTTTCTAAAAAATAAATGTTGAAAGCATTGCAACACTTGGACATCTGGGCTGGGTTTTCTGACTCATCCAACAAATTTTCTGATCACTTTTAATATGAATGATCGGTTGCTGGGGGCTAAACTCTCCAGGCTGTCAAATGTACAAGTGGAAAATACTAGCCGTCATAGAATTATGGTTGTGATGTTAGGACAGAAACTTGCTTTTCATTCTGAACTTAATTATTTCGCATGAATTCATTTTGATTTCTCCTGTGAAGTTGGTAGCAAAGAAAATAGGGAGGCTGCTGAGTCCTTGGATATCTGCCCATCAACATCTTAATAACTAGTACTTAATTTTTATCAAACTTAACAATTATTCTACACTGGAGAACATTTCCAAATTAAATTTCTTCTGTAGTTGAAACCCTATTGATGGAGGGGGAGAAGAAAAACAATTATTTTAAAGCATAAATTGATACCAAATGTATTTGGTTTGAAATGGCTATTAGTTAGCTTTTTTTCTTGCAGCGTAAGTGGAAGGCTAAGTGAAAGTAAGCTGTAATGTCACAAATAGTGCATATCCAAACTGAAGCATGTCTCTCAGCATCCAATGATTTTGAACAAACTATATAATTTAGATGAAATATCTGTTCTTTCAAATGGCTCTTCCCTTAACTTTCAGCTATATCTGGTAGAATGATCGAAAGAATCTTCTCTGGAGCAGTCACAAGGTAAATGTTGCGAGTATTTATAGACGCTGGTCAAAAACATGTATTTGAATTTGTATAGTTGCTATAAAATGAGGTCCCATTGTTTACAGTGTTTGGTGGAAAAACTTTTATAACCAAATGTCTTTCTTAGTTTAGGGAATTATAAACGTATGAAGTGGAAGCAACAGTAGGCCACCTGGCCCTAGAACCTACTCTGCCATTCAGTATCATGTTTGATCCTGTTGTGACTTTATTTCAGTTTCCTTGTCTCTCCTCTTCCCTCCCTACCTCATCCTTTTTAATATCCTTTGTCACCTTTGCAGGTGAAAAATCTGTCTAACTCGGTCTTGAATAAATTGATGAACCAGCATCCATCTGTTCTCAGGCAGTGAATTCCGAAGATTAATAACGCTTGCCTCCTTCTGCAGAGGTGATGGCTTAGTGGTATTGTCACCAGACCTTTAATCCAGAGACCCAGGTGACGTTCTAGGGACTGGGTTCAAATCCTGCCATGGCAGATGGTGGAATTTGAATTCAATTTTTTTAAAAATCTGGGATTAGGATTTTGACCACCATGAATCCATTGCTGATTGTTGTTAAAAACCCATCTGGTTCACTAAGCCCTTTAGGGAAGGAAACTGCCATCCTTAGCTGATCTGGCCTACATGTGACTCCAGACTCTCAGCACTGTGGTTGACTCTTAACTGCCCTCTGGGCAATTAGGGATGGACAATAAATGCTGGTCTAGCCAGTGCCGCCCACATCCCATGAAGGCTTTTTTTTTTTTAAAATTCAATATTTTGAAATGTATACCGCCTTGTTCTGGATTCAGCCACAGTGGGAAACATCCTCTCGAAGCATCTCTGGAGATTCTAACCATTCAAGTCTCCTCAGAATATTTTCATCAATTCAATCATCTGCCACTTTTCCAAACTCTGATCAGTATAAGCCCAACCTGCGCAACCTTTCCTCAAAGCAACTCCTTCATCCAAAAAAATATCAGTTCAGACAATCTTCTGGGCATTACCTTCAGTGCAAATATATCCTTGCTCAAATTAAGAAACCAAAACTGTATTCTCTACTCTAGGTGTGGTGTCTCAAATTTTGTGTACAGTTGTAACAAGACCTCACTAATTTTGTACAAATTTGCAACTGAACTCTCCCCACCAAAGTTCCAGGGATTGGGCAACTTGCAAAATTCTTGTAGGTGCCTCAATGATCATTGGTACCTCTTGGATGCCTGCAAAGTGGGTGGGGCTTAAGGAAATATAAGAAATTATCAGCCCACATTGAGGAAGGCAGGTAACACCAGGGTTGCTCATCCTAGTCTGCACCTTTCCAGGTCACAAAATTAACTTAGAACACATTTTTGTTTGGCTCAGTTTTGTTTTTTTTGTCTATACATGTAACCTACTGGCATTGGGAGGATGAGTAAAAGAAAGCTGAATTGCTCCATCTGATCAGTATGACCAAGTGCTAGCTACAGTGCATGTGTGTCTGAAAAACATTACTGCAGCCATTAATTTAGTGAAGAAATATGACAGATGAGAGGTCATTTTGATCTGAAACCTCCAACTGTTACTTGTCACAGATGTCTAGCATCAGCAGTATTTTGCTATAGAATTAAAATGATGCACTTTTGATTTTTGAATATGATCAAATGCCTATAGAGATGAATAATTTGGGCATGTTAAAGTATTTTAGGTGTCTTTTTTCACAATGAGAAGCAACAAAATAATGTGTTCTTTAAACTGTCATACTTTGCATCATTTTAAAAACATGGTAAACAATTACTGCTAATCAACTTCTTTTACACTGACAATTAATCATTACGTATGTGAGGTCTCACTCTTTCAGCTTTTAATCATCATTTGAGATTTTAAGTATCTAAATGAAAAATAATTTCTCTTTATCTCTTTCTCTTTCTCTCAATGCAGTTTTTTTTTTCTTTTTTCTTTTTTCTTTTTTCTTTTTCTTTTTTTTTTTTTTCTTTTTTCTTTTTTCTTTTTTCTTTTTATTACTTTTGCTTTCTGTATCTGTTGATGCGTATTAAGGTGGATGTCGCAGTCCTTTTAATCTGGTCGTTTAAGAGGATGCACCATATGTGCTCTGTTCACTCGGGTCCCAGCTAACCTATTTCCCTCGCTGCAATATTGTTAGCAAACATTTTCAGCACCTGTTCGTACAAAAATTGCAGAAACTTAAAAAATATACAAGGGAGTTTCTGACTATTAGCAGATGGCATGCCACAACAAATGATGGCCTTCTGCTGAATATTTTTAACCCAAGTTTCATCCTACAAATGACTAGAGCTAGAAGATTGCTCTCAGTTGTAAACGATATGATCTGAGCGCTAATTTTAAAACAGCTTACTTCTTTACAGGCACAGAAAAACTCCTAAAGAAAGGAAGATTGGTTATGCAGACTTTGTCTGGTTTTTGATTTCCGAAGAAGACAAAAAGACATCAACCAGGTGAAAAATTCTGTGTGATTAGAGGTTGCAACTGATTACACTTTCTTTTACAGAACGGATAATATTTGTGATGTTTAATCATTTTTGAAAGATATTGTTACAGCTGTACAAGACATTGGGAAGGCCACATTTGGACTACTGTGTACAATTCTGGTCATCCTGCCTTAAGAAGGATGTTATTAAACTGGAAAGGGTGCAAGAAAATTTACAACTGTTACTGAGACTGGAAGGCTTAATTTATAAGGAGAGGCTGGATAGGCTGGGACTTTTTTTCCTTGAGCATAGAAGGCTGAGGGTTGACCTTTGTGTAGAAATTTATAAAACCATGAGGGGCATAGATAAGGTGAGTAGCCAAGGTCTTTACCCAAGTAGGGAAGCCCAAAACTAGAGGGCATAGGTTTAAGGTGAGGAGAAAAATTTAACAGGGACCTGAGGGGCAACTTTTTCATGCAGAGGGTGGGGCATATATGGAACGAGGTGCCAGAGGAAGTGGGAGAGGTGGGTACAATTACAACGTTTTAAAAGACCATTGGACATGAATAGCAAAGATTTAGACAGATATAGACAAAACACATACAAATGGGACTAGTTCAGTTTAGGAAACCTGGTCAGTAAGAACAAGTTAGGCCGAAGGGTCTGTTTCCATGCTGTTTGCATCTATGACATTGAGTCAGATAGTTGCTTTAATTTGGAATTGATATCTGGACTCCTTCAAATTTATGGAGTGACCTAGTTTAAATATTTGAGTTATAAAAATCCATTTACCACACTTCCCACCTCGATTTAAGGTGGTGTTGATCCTGTTTATATGTTGGAATGGCCGTATCATTTCTTCAACCTAATTTTTTGGTTTGATATGAGTTCCTAATCCTACTGTTATTGTAATATATGAAATTTATAATAAAGGAACAAACAAATGGAAACTAAAAATATTTGAAATCTTAATTATTGGCCTTGATGGAGATTTCCGTGGAATAACTGCACAGTGCCACAGTGGTTAGCACTACTGCCTCACAGCGCCAGGAACCTAGGGTTCAATTCCACCCTCCGGCGACTGTGGAGTTTGCACATTCTCTCCGTGTCTGCGTGGGTTTCCTCCAGGTGCTCCGGTTTCCTCCCACAGTCCAAAGATGTGCAGGCTAGGTGGATTGGCCATGCTAAATTGCCCATAGTGTTCAGGGATGTGTAGATTAGGTGCTTTATAGGGGATGGTTCTGGGTGGGATGCTGAGAGGTTCGGTGTGGACTTGTTGGGCTGAAGGGCCTGTTTCCACACTGTAGGAATTCTATGATAATGAAGTAATAGAAACTTAAGGAAAATTGATCTTCCATTGATACGAGTGTGTTGATCGGCTTTTGGGGAACTGAGTCTCCCTATAAGATGAATCCTATATAATCATGGACAACAAGGTGCAGGGCTGGATGAACACTGCAGGCCGAGCAGAGAGGCTGACGTTTCGGGCCTAGACCCTTCATC